CGTGTCCTAAATCCATTCCTGTGAAAACCAATTGCATGTACATCAACCCTACAGTCCCTTGGAACCACAAAACCATCGATTGTCTACCTGAAATTATCTTACGATGGTACGGAGTAATATCGTTGCAAAACCACGAACGTATAAGTTAAAGGTTATTAGAGATAATGTTATGTAATGCTCTTTTGGAGCCACAAGCAAATAAAATTAATTTTTTTTATTTAGGTTAACCAGTTTGGCTTGCAAACATTCGGAATGTTACGGTTTAAAATGAGAGTAGAACGAGCTAAGCATGAAATAACAAAACAAATAAAAAGTTGTTGTTAAGGGCATATACTGACCGATCCCGGTCCGTGTATATATATACAGACCGGTTTCGGTCCGAATATAGGCACTCGAGGGATTTTTTTATCCTAAAGCTAAATTAAATTAAGTATGAATATATATATACGGACCGATTTTGGTCTGAATATATGCAAAGAATCCAGAAGCTTCCATGTTTTCATTTTTCAGACCGATTTTTGTCCGAATATACTCGAAAAAATCCAGAAACTTCTCCCAGTTCACATTTTTATTCTTTTCATTTAAGGACATTACCATCTTCTCGTGTCCTAAATCCATCCTGTGAAAACCAATTGCATGTACATCAACCCTACAATCCCTTGGAACCACAAAACCATCGATTGTCTACCTGAAATTATCTTACGATGGTACGGAGTAATATCGTTGAAAAACCACGAATGTATAAGTTAAAGGTTATTAGAGATAATGTTATGTAATGCTCTTTCGGAGCCACAAGCAAATAAAATTAATTTTTTTTATTTAGGTTAATCACTTCGGCTTGAAAACATTTGGAATGTTACAATTTAAAACGAGAGTAGAACGAGTTAAGCATAAAATAACAAAAAAAATAAAAAGCTGTTGTTAAGGGCATATACGGACCGATCCCGGTCCGTATATATATACAGATCGATATCGGTCCGAATATATGCACTCCGAAGGATTTCTTATATACTTAATAAAAATTAAGTATGAATTTATATACTTAATAAAAATTA